AATGTATTTATTTATTTTGAGAGAGGGAAAGAGAGAGGGAGAGAGAATCCCAAACAGGCTCTGCGTTGTCAGCGCAGAGCCTGATGCAGGGCTGGCACTCATGAACCATGAGGTCATGACGTGAGCCGAAATCAAGAGTCAGGTGCTTCACTGACTGAGCTAGCCAGGTGCCCTGGTGGTGAAATTTAGAATGAAGGGCTGGCTGAGACTTTGAGGTAAAAAGCAAAACAAATATTATTTCAGCACGAGGCAAACCTCTTCATCTTGAAGCTAGAAGAGAAGAAGTCAAGAGAATGTAGCTCTTTATTCAACAAACATTTAGTGAGTGCTTACTCTCGGCCAGGAAATATTCTACGTGGAAATGTTCCATGTGTAAGATCTAGGTCTTAGGCTATATAGTCTGGGGGTAGGCAGAAAGGAATTACATGTTCCCCAGCCCACCAGCCCACCCAGAATCGAATCAAATGGAGGTCATGTTCACAGTGTCAACCATCTCCGGGCAAAGTGTCCCAGTTATTTCAGGAGCCCTACTAGCATCAGTCATTACCTCCATTCTGCTCTGGCTCACTTCAAATACATCTGCTGTCGAAGCCCCTGCTGTCAGAGAATCTGCCTCAGGGCACTTCCACTGCTCCCCCACCATCCTGCTGAGGGAAAACACCTCCAAACTCTATGCTCCAAATGGTGGTTTCACAAATGTATACTTAGGTTAAAAAAAATATGTAGATAGATACAGATATAGACATAGACATAGACATACATATAGATATAGATATAGATATAGATATAGATATAGATATAGATATACATATACATATACATATACATATAGATATACATATAGATATACATATAGATATACATATAGATATACATATATATACATATAGATATACATATAGATATAGATATACTTAGGTTAAAAATACTAATATATAGGGGCGCCTGGGTGGCGCAGTCGGTTGAGCGTCCGACTTCAGCCAGGTCACGATCTCGCGGTCCGCGAGTTCGAGCCCCGCGTCAGGCTCTGGGCTGATGGCTCGGAGCCTGGAGCCTGTTTCCGATTCTGTGTCTCCCTCTCTCTCTGCCCCTCCTTCGTTCATGCTCTGTCTCTCTCTGTCCCAAAAATAAATAAAAAACGTTGAAAAAAAAATTAAAAAAAAAAATACTAATATATATTATATTACATAATACATACATATATAATATATAATAATATATATTACATATTATATATTATCATATTGCATATTATATATTACATATTGCATATTATATATTATATGTAATATATATATTATATATTATATTGGCAAAAATGTGAGGAATGAGTACATTGTTAGTAGTGATGGGGTTTAGGACATGCTACCCCAAAATATGGCATATGGCATATTGAATATCTTAAGCAAAAGGAATTTGAGAAAATAGCAAATGCAGAAAGGTGTCACCCACATACCTTGTCCCTTGAAACAGGTCAATGAAATTCCCACGTGAAAGCTGCCTTCTCTGTACTAGGAGAAGGAAGACGTTCTTATCACCACACACAGGGAATTTGGGGCTGAGAAATATGTACAAACAAACCGCTTTAAGTACTTTTTTTAACGTTTATTAGTTTTTGAGAAACAGAGACAGAGTGTGAGCAGGGCAGGGGCAGAGAGAGAGGGAGGTACAGAATCCGAAGCAGGCTCCAGGCTCTGAGCTGTCAGCACAGAGCCAGACTCGGGGCTGGAACCCACGGACCATGAGATCATGACCTGAGCCGAAGTCAGATGCTTAACCAACTGAGCCACCCAGGGGCCCCCAAACAAATCTTTTTAAATTAATCCTTATCTTCCAGTTATTTCTTCATGACTTACTCCTTTTGGCCCCCACCCCTTTGTCTTTTTTTTTTTTTTAATGTTTATTTATTTTGAGAGAGAGAGCACAAAAGAGAGGCAGAGAGAGGGAGGAGAATCCCAAGCAGGGCTCCACTGCTGTCAGCAGAGCCCAATGAGGGACTTGAACTCACAACCTGTGAGATCATGACCTGAGCTGAAATCAAGAGGGGGATACTTACCGCACTGAGCCACCCAGGCGCCCCCCAACCCCTTTGTCTCGTCCATTCTTCACAAATTAATTGTTTATTAGTCTAAAAGGTAGAAAAGGGGCGCCTGGGTGGCTTGGTCGGTTAAGCGTCCGACTTCGGCTCAGGTCATGATCTCACGGTCCATGAGTTCGAGCCCCGCGTTGGGCTCTGTGCTGACAGCTCAGAGCCTGGATCCTGTTTCAGATTTTGTGTCTCCCTCTCTCTCTGCCCCTCCCCTGTTCATGCTCTGTCTCTCTCTGTCTCAAAAATAAATAAACGTTAAAAAAAATTTTTTTTTAAATAAAAATAAAAGGTAGAAAAGCTTCCTGCTCTAGTCACCACTTTGGGTCTTTGTTCTCCTGTGAAGACTCCCACATACATGTAAAAATCCAGTCAAATGTGTATGCTTTCCTCCTGTTAATCTGTCTTTGTCAGGTTTTTTTTCGGGGGTCCTGAGAGGGTGAAGGAAAACTTTTTCCTCCCCTTTGCTGGCAACTCTTCTGACCATTCTGGGAGTGGTGCCCCAACAACACAGATTTTTAAAACTTAGTGCTGATTTTTTAAAAAGCTAGAAAAGAGGGGCACCTGGGTGACTCTAGTCGGTTGAGTGTCCGACTTCAGCTCAGGTCATGATCTCACAGTTTCTGAGTTAGAGCCCGGGCTCCCTGCTGTCAGTATAGAGCCTGCTTCAGATCCTCTCTCCTGCCCCCCCCCCTCCTCTGCTCTTCCCCCACTCGAGTGCTCTCTCTTTCTCTCAAAAATGAACAAGAATTTATTTAAAAAAAAAAAGAAAAGGGAAAGGTTTCTGACAAAAGACCATTTATGTGAATTTAAAAACATGCACCCAGGGATGCCTGGGTGGCTCAGTCAGTGGTGTCCAGCTTCGGCTGAGGTCATAATCTCACCATCTGAGCTCGAGTCCCACGCTGGGTTCTGCACTGATGGCTCAGAGCCTGGAGGCTGCTTCAGATTCTGTCTCCCTCCCTCTGCCCCTCCCCCACTCACTCACACTGTGTGTGTGTGTGTGTGTGTGTGTGTGTGTGTGTGTTTGCGTGTGTGTGTCTCTCTCAAAAAAATAAACATTAAAAAAATAAAAATAAAAAAGCGACACACAAAACACCACATATTATATGAGAATACATTCAAGTTCGAAGAGGCATGTTAATACATTGGAATGATTGCTGGTTAAAGAAGGAAATGGGAGTGGAGAATTAATCCATCAAAGGTAGCAACGATGGCATTTCAAAAATGAAGTTGTATTGGTCAGAGTTCTTCATTGCAAACAGCAGAAACCAACTCTGGTTGATTTAAACATAAAGCGGAAAAAAAAAATGTAAGGCTACTGATTGGGTAGCTCACTGAATCACCTGGAGGACCCAGAGTCTATGCAATAAGAATCGTAACCACAAATTACACCACAGAATTGGTTGGGGGAGGCTTCAACAGTTGCGGTCTCTGAGGACCAGACTGTTTGTATTGCCTGAACAAGGAGAAACTGAAAGCTGTCAACATGTTTCTCCAATAGCAGAGGGAAGTTTGCTCACCCAGATTCTTTGCCAAAGAATGGATTCAGCTATGGATTCACTGTCTGGGGCAGATGCACCAGAATGACCAAGCCTGAGTCATGGGCAGTGCCCTATCTGCAGAGGACGCTGGCAATGACTGTGTTTAGCTCCCCAAGTGAGATGTAGTATCTGCCTCCCCCAAGACTCATAGAAATGAGAGGGATCATTCAGCAGAAGAAAAGCGTCCTGGGGCGCCGGCGTGGCTCAGTCAGTTGGGCATCCGACTTTGGCTCGGGTCGTGATTTCACAGCTTGTGAGTTTGAGCCCCTGTCTGTGCTGACAGCTCGGAGCCTGGAGCCTGCTTCGGATTCTGTGTCTCCCTCATTCTCTATACCTCACCCACTCACACTCTGACTCTCTCAAAAATAAATAAACATTAAAAAAGAAGAAGAAGAAGAAGAAGAAGAAGAAGAAGAAGAAGAAGAAGAAGAGGGTCCTATGATGGGCATTCAAAAGGATGACAAAAGCTTACTAATGAAAGCATGGCCAACACTGGTAACTTCTGCACTGGGATCAAATCAGAGCCCGTTGAGTTTTTCAACTTGAAAGCCACTGGTAACATTTTCCAGAATCGTTTCACTGGAACACTAGAGGCAAGAGACAGATGGTAGGAAGATGAAGACATAATCAGTGTAGACTATTAAGGAGCTTAACTGTGAATGGAAGGGCTATGGTTTTATGTTTGAAGATAAAAGCGAATTGAGCACATTTTAGGCTAAGGAGGAGCTAGCAGAAAAGGGTTGCCATCGTTAGAAAGTAAACAGATGATTTTAAAAAGCCATAACCTAATCAGAGCCCAGGTGGAAAGTTTAACCTTAAAATGCTGTAAGCAGAGGTACGGCTTCTCTGAGAGAGGAGGAAAAATATATATATATATACGTGGCTGCATGTAAATGTTTATGTTGGGAAGTCCAGGTGGTGTCTATTGGACGGCTTTTATTTTATGTATGAAGTGGATATGCAAGAAAAACTGAAGGAAGCAGAGCTTGGGTGCTAAGCCTAAAAATAAAACTGCCAGTTCTTTTAGCAGCAAAAACAGGTTTATTTGGAATAGCAGATAACTGCAATCTGGGACAAGCAAGCTGTGGCAAAACCGCAGACAAATCCAGAGGACAAAGGTAAGGAACGGACTGCTCTTTTACGGAGGAAAAGGGGGGAGCAGGGAGGGCTGTTCTAGGCAAAAAGTCCATTGGAATAAACTGGGAGTTCCAAGTATAGGGGCCTTTCCTTGGCTGAGCTGTGACAGAATCCCATTGGCTGGGCTGTTGCGGGAGCGGAAGGAAAAACCTTCTTCCTCCTGCTGGGATAGTAAAGTAGAAGCTAAGGCGTTACCAGCTCGCAAGCTACCCCTCTTCCCTTTGGGTCTGCAATTAACCAAGGGTGGCCTGGCGTGAGAGGTCCCCGCCCCCTGCTGGCTCCTGACTGTTTTAAACCAGCTTTCCTTTTATTAATTTTCTTCGGGGTCAATGAGAGAGAGGCCTTGCCGAGAGGGGTGTAAGTCTCTACCTGCTAAACGCAAGAGGAGCTGACCACCACCAGGTTAAGAAAAAAATACACATATATTACAAGATGGGTGCCGTCATGATTGAAGAGTTTACATCCAAAGTGGTTCTGATCGGCTGATTGTTTCTCCTGCTGCTGCCCAGGTGCGGAAGCAAACAGGCAAAAGCAGGTGTGGCTCCTTGGGTGTGCGGGGCAGGTACAGACACTAGCAGACTCGAGCCTGGAGCTGGCAGGTGAGAGTGTCGTCAGAGTGATAGTGCAGCAGGCCACAGATCAGATAAGAAAGGAAATGTGGCCCGGACGGGGAGAGAGAGGGATTAAGATATTTCAGAGTTCCTCCGAGGTTGAGGGTTAAAGGTCGTGGAAGTAGAAGAGCAAGGGTGCCTGGGTGGCTCGGTTGGTTGAGCATCTGACTCTTGATTTTTCGGCTCCGGTCATGATCTCCCTGTTCGTGGGTTAGAGCCTTGCATCAGTGTGAAGCCTGCTTGGGATTCTCTCTCTCCCCCTCTTTCTCAGCCCCTCCCACGCGCTCTCTCTCTCTCTCTCTCTCAAAGTAAATAAATAAATAAATAAAAGGAAGTAAAAGAACAAGAGCTAGAAGGATGAGAGTGTGTGGTCTCAGTGTGGGCTTTTAGAGTTTTAGATTTTTGAGGTAGAGTTAGGTCCATCCAAGACGTGACCATTAAAAAACAATAACCTTTGATATGAGGTGCAGAGGACAAAAACCATTTAGAGAAACAGCTCAGAAGCCGGAGTTTCTGAAATACCTACCGGTCCTGGCCTTGTTTCCTTTCTTATCTAATCTGTGGCCTGATGGACTATCACTTTAACGACTCTCTCACCAGGCGGCTTCAGGCCCTCGTACCATTTTGTACCTGCCCTGCACTCCCAAGGAGCCAAACTAGCATTCGGGGGCACTTGGCTTGTTCAGTCAGATGTGGTTCTTGATCTCGAGGTCGTGAGTTCGAGCCCCACAATGGGCATAGAATTTACTTAAAAAAAAAAAGATTAAATTAAAGGAAAAGTATTGCACTCAGCAAGAACTAGTCTTAGAGATCATCACACGCCCATCTGTTACCCACAGGTGGTAGACATGACCCACAATCAGGATTCTCGAAGGTGATGGAGATAAAAGGAAAATCTGCCCTCTCAGAGGATAATCATATAAATGAAGAAAGAGTTATATCAGAGGTAGGCAATGAGAGATTCCCAGGCCAGTAAAAGGGAACCGTACCTTGAAGCATCTTTGTTAACACTCCTCAAGAAAGAGGATCTGTCAGGTTGTAGTTGGGTTGGGAATTGAAGCATGAACAAGAATCAGAGACAGCGACTCTGATTTGGTAACTCTAGCACAGAGCCAGGCCAGGGGGCACCTGGCCCACGGACCAAGATAACCTGACACAGCCAGACTCCTGCTATAGATCATACCTACGTGACATCAGCCATTCAAGTCGTCCAACTGATTCCCTTTGTGCCACTTCTGTGCTCACCAAGTAATCCTACTGGAATCTGGCTTCCCACATAGATTTTGCAAATAGGACAAAAATGTACTGGGGTGCCTGGGTGGCTCAGTCGGTTAAACATCTGACTTCGGCTCAGGTCACGCTCTCACGGTTGGTGAGTTTGAGCCCCGTGTCAGGCTCCGTGCTGACAGCTCCTCCCCCTCTTGTGCTCTCTTTCTCTCAAAAATAAATCAACATTTAAAAAGAAAAAAATGTATCGGTTAGGGACACAACTATTTGGTCATGATAATTACAGATCTACTTAATATATGAACAATTAATTCATTAATTAACAAACAGGCTATGGTTTTGGTCAAAGAGAGTCAGACTCCCAGACCCAAACACCTAGGGATGCCCTAACAATAGAAGTTTAGAGCCTAAAAAGCTAAGTATCATCCCCTGGAAAGTGGCATAAAACACCGGCACCACGTGAAGTCAGATTGGGGTGACAACAGTCCTCCTCTGGGTAACGCTTCTCTGGTTCCATGTCTCTCCTGTAAATCCATCCCGGATTTCTGCATGCCACCTAAACAGAAAAAACACTCGGCTTCTCTTTCTCTCTAACCAGAGAGTACAGACCAAAGTTAAACTAAGGAAGTTGGGCTGATTGGTTCTGTGGCGGCATATAAATGTATAAATACATCTGCAAGTCGGTGTGGCACTCGCACAGGATACAGGGCAAAGAAACGGGAAGGAAAAGACCTCTCGGGTCCTAAAATGATAAGGAAATGAACAGGTTCGTTGCCATCCCAGTAGGGCAAGGTTAATGATTTGGTAACCAGGCCAGAGCTAGGTAGGCCTGCGTGCAGCTGAACTCTCAGTTGGGCTCCACCCCGTGACCTATGCTGTGCAAACAAGCCTTTCTAGAGCTGTAACAATCGCTCCTACGCTGAAACTAAGGGCGCATTGTATCAAATAGCATGCCCCGGTATCCCAGAATAAAGTAAATCTATCTTCCACTCCCCTTTGAAATAGATTTGTTGGGGCTGTTCTTCCTCTCCCCCTGGAAGCAGGCTCTGTGGCTTTTCTAATTATTCTCAGATGATGCAAGGTCCCCTGGCCCGTTTGGAACCTACAAATTTCATGTCGCAGTGCAGGCTTTGAACTTCACGTTGAGCTGGAGCCTCTCCTCCCATCGCTCCAGCTCTGGCTCATGGCCAGACAGCAGCAGCTCCTCTTTTTCTCCCACTTTGGGCTTGACTAGTCCATCCCTAACTCACTACCTGTGTTTCTAATGTTTCCAGAAAAATTTTTAGGGAGCAGGGAAATTATTACTTGCGTTATTATGCTTAACTAGCACTCTTTGGAACTGCCAGACCGTGAAAACTTTACCCTCCTCTAGCGGGCGCTTTTACGAGTTCTGTGAGACCTCTGATCAGTCAAGGTCCTACGGAAAAGAGCATTTGCCCTAGATGGTTCAAGCAGACGCCAAGAAAGGGCCTGATGATAGAGGTGTGCGGAGCGCTAATGGAAGAGATGTCCAGAAGAGAGCGCTAACAGAAGAGATGATGTCACACTGGAAAGCCGTTTCCACTCCGGACGTGAGAGGACAAGGAAAGAGTAGCACGAGAACCCAGAGAGAGCTGAGGTTATAAAAAAGGAACCGCTTGGACGTAGTGTAGTCCTGGAAGGGTGCAAGCACTGCCAATGGCACAATGCCAGTACAGGGAGGCAGCAGGGGAGAAATGCCTAGAACATCCTCTCTGATTTGCTGCTAGTATGTCAGCCTGGCCAAACCCAACTGGTAGTGAGCCAGCAATAGAGCTCAAGTCACAGAGCTCTCAAGAGGATAGCCTCCTGGGAAGGATGAAGGATCTAGGTGAACAAGCAGAAAAACCAGTAAACCCCCATCACGAAGGATGTCTCACCTCCACGTCCCCTGATGAAGGCAAGTGCATCCCTGTTATGACAAGTTGCTGACTCTTTCCTAACCCTCTAGGAATTACTCCTGCAATGCTATCCCTCTGCTATGTAGAGAACTACAGAAAATATTTACACATCCTGTTACATATAACATTTACTATTCACTGAGCTACTTGGAACGAGGCATTGTGCTAAGATGCCCTGCGTGCGTTCTCTTTAAACCTCATAATAGCCCATGGAAGCAGATGGTGTTTAACCAGAAAGAGTGATTGAGAGGAGAGAGAGAGAGGTGGACCCAGAGTGGTCAAGTGACTCACTCGAGCCCCAAAGCTGTCTTTCTCTACCAAGTGTTCTCTAGAAACAGCAAAAAGAACACGTCTTTATTATCATTTGTTTTTGCTCTTTATCCCTCTGCCTCGTCCTTGAAGTTGGCATCAGTATATTTGCTTGGACATTGCCAACAGCTGACCTTGGCTCTGAGCGCTGAGATTCCCCCTGGGGATTGCTTTGCGTCAAGCTGGTTAAAGAAACCAAATCCCATGTGCCCTCCTTAATTAGCTGGCTCATGCTTTAGCTCATTGGATGTTTTATTTGGAGTTCTTTAAGAAGAACAACTGTCCTTCTCCCCTGAGTAAGGGTTCTTTCGTGTATTAAGACATGATTTTTTAAAGGGCATCTCCCAAGGGGTGTGAACAACATATGGTATTCACATATGGAAAATTCAGCTTTCCAAAGAGATTGGTTTTCATGACCAACCATCCTCTTACTTGATCAGATCGTTAGGGGAGCTGAACGTGGGCCCTATTCATTCAGCTAGGGGAACACTCAGAGACCAGCCCAGACTGAACACAGCCTGTATTCCACTTAGAATAATGCTCCCCTGGGCTATTCCCAGTGTGGAATGAATCTTCACTGGCAACCCTCTTCCAATGTCTTAATTTCACCAAGACATGCTCTGAAGGAGCAAAGCAGCCTTACCTGGATTGCCAGGTATGAATAAGTAACAGGCCTATTGTAGTGGTTAAATCAGCTAATTGGCTCCTAGGACCCTCTATCGAAAGTCTCTTTAATAAGCCTTACAGTTGGGGCGCCTGGGTGGCGCAGTCGTTAAGAGTCCGACTTCAACCAGGTCACGATCTCACGCTCCGTGAGTTCGAGCCCCGCGTCGGGCTCTGGGCTGATGGCTCAGAGCCTGGAGCCTGTTTCCGATTCTGTGTCTCCCTCTCTCTCTGCCCCTCCCCCGTTCATGCTCTGTCTCTCTCTGTCCCAAAAATAAATAAACGTTGAAAAAAAAATAAAAAAAAAAAAAACAAGCCTTACAGTTTCACTCTGAACATTATTAAACACAAATTAAACCTTTTCTTCCTCCCTCCCTTCCTTCCTTCCTTCCTTCCTTCCTTCCTTCCTTCCTTCCTTCCTTCCTCTCTTTCTCTCTCTTTCTTTCTTTCCTTTTCTTTCTTTCTTTTGTTTTTAGAAAATCTGTAGTGCTTTATTTGATTTAGTAAGTAAATAGGGCACCTGGCTGGCTCAGCATGAGACTCTTGATCTCAAGGTTGTGAGTTCAAGCCCCATTTTGGGTATGGAGCCTACTTAGGAAAAAAAAAAAAGGAAATAGAATTACTTCTTTCTGTAAAGGCGGTATTTTTTCCTACAAATTAGTTTTACTAAGATGTAATCTTCATGCAATAGAATTCACCCATTTTAAGTGTATAGTTTGATAAGTTTTGACAAACGTAGACAGTTCCGTAATCAGGACCCCAAACGACACAGAGAACATTCATCCCTTGGTGCCAGTTTGCAGTCACTCCCCGCCCCAACCCCAAGCCCAGGCAACCACTGACCTGTTTTTTTCAACAGAGGCTTTAGAAGTAGAATTTCTTTTTCAACTTAAAAGCAAATTTCGTTAAGATTCATCAGTGTCGGGGCGCCTGGGTGGCGCAGTCAGTTAAGCGTCCGACTTCAGCCAGGTCACGATCTCGCGGTCCGGGAGTTCGAGCCCCGCGTCGGGCTCTGGGCTGATGGCTCGGAGCCTGGGGCCTGTTTCCGATTCTGTGTCTCCCTCTCTCTCTGCCCCTCCCCCGTTCATGCTCTGTCTCTCTCTGTCCCAAAAATAAATAAACGTTGAAAAAAAACTAAAAAATAAAAGATTCATCAGTGTCTTTGCCTGTATTGGTGGTCTGCTCCTCCTTACTGGTGAGTAGTATTCCATTACATGGAATGGACCGGGGTTTTGTGATTTTTTTTTTTTTTTTAACATCACAATTTGTTTGCCCATTCATCAGGTGGTGGACATTTGGATTATTTCCAGTCTGGGGCTATTGTGAATAAAGCTACCATGAACATCTGAGTATAAATCTTTGAGCGGACAGATATTTTCATCACATCTCTTGGGTAAATATCTAGCATTGAGATCATTGGGATGTATGGGAAGTGTATTTTAACTTTATTTTTATTTATTTTTTCATGTTTATTTTTACTTTTGAGAGAGAGGGGCACAGAGAATCCGAAGAGGCTTGGCACTCAGCATGGGGCCTGCCATGGGGCTCAAATTCACGAACTGTGATATCATACCTGAGCCGAAGTCAGATGCTCAGCCAAGTGAGCCGTCCCGGGGCCCCTAACTTTATCTTTTTAAAAGTCCAGCTGTTTTTCAGAGTAGCAAGTGCTTCACATCATTGCCAAAATTAGTATTGTCCTTCATTGAATTTTATCATTCTAGCAGTCTGTAGTGTCATCAAGTTATGGTTTTAATTTGTGTTTCCCTAGTGAATAATTATGTTGAGCATCTTCCCACGTGCTTATTTGCCACTTTTTTCATGGCGAAATGTCTGTTCTAACCTTTCTCCCACTTTTAATTACACTGCTTAGTTTACTATTGAATTGCAAAATATACATTTTAAATACAAGTTTTTTTTACAAGATGAATTTGGCAAATATTTTCCCTATGTGTGACTTGTTGTTGATTTTCTTAACAGTGTCTTTGGAAGAGCAAAAGCTTTTCATTTTGATGAAATCCAGTTTATTAATTTTTCTTTCTATGGTTAACGCTTTTGTGTCCTGCCTAAGAAAACATTGCCTAACCGAACACTGCAAAGATTTCCTCCCTTGTTTTCACCTGGCAATTTTATAATTTTAAAACGTTTTTATGTTTATATCTATGATGCATTTCAGGTTAATTTTTATAAATGGTGTGAGGTAAAGGTCAAGTTCTTTTTTATAAGTATATATTTTCAAGTTCATCCAGCACCCTTTAAGACTATCCTTTCTTGCATTGAACCTTGGCACTTGTGTTGAAGATCAACGACCATATACGTGTAGGTCTATTTCTTTTTTTTTTTAATGTTTTTTTTTTATTTATTTTTGAGACAGAGAGAGACAGAGCATGAGCAGGGGAGGGGCAGAGAGAGAGGGAGACACAGAATCCGAAGAAGGCTCCAGGCTCTGAGCTGTCAGCACAGAGCCTGACGCAGGGCTCGAACTCACAGACTGTGAGATCATGACCTGAGCTGAAGTCGGATGCTCAACCTACTGAGCCACCCAGTCGCCCCTGTGTAGGTCTATTTCTGCACTTGATCATCTATTCAACTGTTATCATTATACAAATATTACACGGTATTGATTACTACAGGTGTATTATAGGTGTATTACTGCAGGTGTAATACACCTATAATAATATATAGGTGTATATATTCCTTAAAATCAAGAAGTGCCCATCCTCCAACTTTGTTCTTCTTTTTCAAGTTTATGTTGGCTATTGTCAGTCCTTTACATTTGCACATAAATTTGAGAATCATCTGAATATTTTCTACAAAAAAGTTGCTGGGATTTTGATGATCAGGATTCCATTCAATTTACAGATAATTTGAGGGATAGTGGAATTTAACATTTTAAGAATATCGAATCTGCCGATCCCTGAATAGGTGTACATCTCCTAAGTAGGTCTTCTATTTTTTTTTAAGTTTATTTATTTTGAGAGAGAGAGAGAGAGCTCACACACATGAATGAGAGAGAGGCAAAGAGAACAAGAGAGAACCCCAAGCAGTCTCTACACCATCAGCGCAGAGCCAATGCAGGACTTGAACTCATGAGCCATGAGATCATGACCTGAGCCAAAATCAAGAGTTGAGCACTCAACCGACTGAGCCACCCAGGTACCCCCTAAGTAGGTCTTCTTTAATTGTTTTATTGTTTTCAGTGAATGGGTCTTAGTCTATTAAATTCATTCATAAGCATTTCATATTTTTGATGATACTTTAAATCATTGATTTAATTTTAACTTCCAATTTTCTTTGCTAAAATGTGGAAATATAGTTTATTTTTTATTATTCATCTTGTGTCCTAAAATCTTGCTGGTTCACTTATTAGTTCCAGTAGCTTTTTCATAGATTCCTTAGAATTTCCTATATAGAAAGTCATGTTGTTTGTGGCATTTTTACCACTTATTTGCCAACATTTATACTACCTGTATTCCTTTTTCCTTGGTTTATTAAACTAAGTAGGACATCCAGTATAATATTGAGTGAAAATAGTAGGAGTGGACATCTGTCTTAGTCCATTTGAGCTGCAGTACCAAAATACCATAAACTGAAATGCTTATCAACACCAGAAATTTACTTTCTCACAGTTCTGGAGGCTGAAAGTCTGGGTTCACGGTTTCAGCATGGTTGAGTTCCGGTGAGAACTTGCTTTTGGGTTGCAGATAGCTGACTTCTTGTATCCTCACGTGGTGGAAAAAAAAAAAGAGGAAGCAAGATCTCATGACTCTTATAAGGACATTAGTCCCATGCATGAGAGCTCCACCCTCAGGGCCTCATCTGTTCCTAATTACCTCCCAAAGACATCACCTCTAAATACCATCATGTTGGAGAGTAGAGTTTCAGTTTAAACATTCAATCCATAACAGTATCTTGCCTTGTTCACAGCCTCATGGAGAAAGCATTCAGTCTTTCATCATTAAGTTAACGTTAGATAAAATGTTTTGTAGATGTTCTTTATCAGGTTAAGGGAATTCCCTTCTTTTTGTAGCTTGCTGAAACTTGTCATAAATGGATGTTTAATTTTGTGAAATGCTGTTTCTGTATCTATTGAGATGCTATAACTTTTTTTCTCTCACTCTGTCAATGCAACGAATGATACTAAGTCTTGAATGTTAAACCAACCAGCCTTCCATTTCTAGATAAACTTCATACCGTAATGGTGTATTACCCTTTTGTATATGTTTCTTGATTCAATTTCCCAGTATTTAATTGAGGTTTTTGTGTCTCTTTAAGAGATATTGGTCTAGGGACGCCTGGGTGGCTCAGTCGGTTAAGCGTCCGACTTCAACTCAGGTCACGATCTCGCGGTCCGTGAGTTTGAGCCCCATGTCCAGCTCTGGGCTGATGGCTCAGAGCCTGGAGCCTGCTTCCAATTCTGTGTCTCCCTCTCTCTCTGTCCCTCCCCCATTCATGCTCTGTCTCTCTCTGTCTCAAAAATAAATAAACGTTAAAAAAATTTTTTTTAAAAAAGAGATAATGGTCTATAGTTTGTGCTTATAATAGTCTTGACAGGCTCTGTTGCCGGAGTTTTGTTGGCCTCAGAAAACAATCTGGAAGTGTCACCTTTCTCTTTTTCTCTGAAAGAGTATGTGTAAGATTGGTGTTATTTCTTCTTTAAATTTTTGATAGAATTCACAAGTGAAGGTTTTTAAAATTACAAATGCAATTTCTTTAGCAGTGTTATGTGGCTATAACGATGTTCTGTTTCTCCTTATATCAGTTTTAAGATAGGTTTTTCCAAGAAATTGTATGTTTCATCTAGGTTGTCAAATTTATTGGCATAAAGCCCATCATAATATTACCTTATTATTCTTTCTCAATGATTTGTAGTCATATCTCCTTTTTTATTCTTGATATTTGTAATTTGCCTCTTCTATTTTTTACTTTAATCAGTTCTTCTCAATTTTATTAATCTTTTCAGAAAATCAACTGTTTTAATGGTCGGTTCTATGTATCCGCAAAATGACCTCCTAAGGCCCAAGGAGTCTTTTTTTTTTTTTTTTTTTAATTTATTTGAGAGAGAGAGAGAGAGAGAGCACCTCATGAGTAGGGGAGAAGGGCAGAGGGAGAGAGAGAATCTTAAGCAGGCTTCCCACCCAGCACAGAGCCAGACATGGGGCTCAATCCCACGATGCTGGGATCATGACCTCAGCCAAAATCAAGAGTCAGATCCTCAACCAACTGAACCATCCAGGTGCCCCAGGCCAAAGAGTCTTAAGACTGAAGAAATAGGCCAATGAGGCCAGCAGGATAAGAAATGGTTTATTAAGGGGAGCTATGGACAGAAGGACAGAAGCATGTCTTAGGCAGCCCCAAGACAAGAACCCCACATCCTGTAAGACCTGCTATCTCCAGAGCCGATCAAAGATGTTATGCCTCAGGGTGTACTGAAGGGTGTGGTTACACTAAAAGAAAGAATGTGGGTGGGGTAGGGGCTGTGCTCTGGAAGTCCTCAGTGAGCATAAGTACAGAAAAGTTGAATCACTGTGTTGTACAGCTGAAACTAATGTAACATTGGTGTCGTGTCTAAATGTGGTGTCTCTCTCAATCAGATGGGGGCCCCCAAATGTGGGGTGACGATTGGGTGGAAGCCCACGCACAGAGGGTGAAAGAATTCACCTGAGGCAAAACAAAGGAGATACAAGTTTATTGAATATACCACAAAGGAGCAGTGGGCAGAACAGCGAAGGAGAGCCTGTCTGCAACTAGGCAGTGGGTGGGGGGCTATTGTTGTTGTTGTTGTTTAAACTTTATTCATTTTTGAGAGACAGAGAGAGACAGACCACCAGTGGTTGAAGGACAGAGAGAGAAAGACAGACAGACAGACAGACAGACAGAATCCAAAGCAGGCTCCAGGCTCTGAGCTGTCAGCACAGAGCCCAACACAGGGCTCGAACCCACGAACCCATGAACGTTAAGATCAGACATCTTGCTTGTATCTGTGTTGGTTAAGTCCCTGACTGTCATTTCTTCCTGCTCTTTCTTTTGGGGTGAATTCCTTCGTTTCATCATTTTGAATGGAGAAAAGGAATTAATGAGGTAGAAAAAGTTAAAATTAAAAAAACTTAATTTTTTTAATTTTAATTTTTTTTAACTTTAACACACAAACACACACACACACACACAAATCTAATAAATGATGCTAGATCCTACATGTGTTTTGTTCTGGGTGTTGAAAGTGGCTTGACAGATTAGAGAAAAAAAGGGGAAAGAAGAAAAAAAAAGGAAATTGAAAATTTGAAAAACTGAATACACTGAAGAAGACTAAAATGAAATGATGGAAGTAAACTAGAATTTGAAAAAATGTATACCAAAGTAAAAAATATAGTAGAAAAAAATTAAAGAAAAATATTTTTAATAAAAATTAAAAGTAAAGCTGAATTTTTTTCTTTCTGTATTCAAG